GGTGTCACCACCCACAGTGGGCTGGGCCCTCCCACATCACTCATCAAGAAGATGCCCCTCAGACATGGCCACAGGTCAGTCCAATGGAGGCAATTCCCCAATTGAGGGTCCCTCAACCCAGGTGTGTCAAGTTGACACTAAAGCTATCCAGCACAGAAAAGTAGCCAGTTTCTTGGCTAAAAGTCAAAATGTCCTTGGGCCTCTTAGCAACATATTCTGTTCCAAAGGCCAAAAATGTCAAGAGTATTTTGGAGCTCGTCTCTAATCCTTTAAAGATTTTAGGGTTACCTCTTCAGAGGGAGGAATGTTAGAGTACCCAAAAGCACCATAAAAATAAAGAAGAAAAATAAAAGAAAAAGAAAAAAGTGATGGGGAGATATGGGCAGTTTTGGAGGGGAAGGAGGGGGCATGGATTTGATCAAAACACCTTATATGCATATATGAAATTCTCATATAACTTTTTGTAAAAGTTAAAAAAAGACCAAAAACAAACAAACAAAAACCCCCAAATGTATACACAGAATAAACACAATTTAGGATCTATAAAGACAGAATATTGTTGATTGCTCAGCCTTATGCAACCCTTCAGGCTATCAAAGTTATTTTTCCTGAGGTTATTAATGGCTCTCTACTCACTAAAACTAAGAACTTAGAAGTGATACTGCTCAATTTCTCTGTAATATTTGACTTATTGATTGGTGTCTGCTTTATGAAACTTTCATCTTTTTATAGCTTTTTTGATACTATTCACTTCTAATTGTCTTGCTTCCCATTCTGGCCACATCTTAGCCTCCTTTCTTGACCCATCTTCTTCATTAGGTTCACACAGGGTGTTCCTTTGGTCTCTTTTCCATTCTAGTTTACTCTCTCTCTCTCTCTCTCTCTCTCTCTCTCTCTCTCTCTCTCTTGAAAAATTGGACCTAATTATCACTTAACTATGAATTGTTCCCTAGTCTTCAGTCTTAACTCTGTCTTAAATCTAGAGCTCTAGATTTGTATGTTCAATTGGAGATTTCTAAGCACTTAATGCATTCATCAATACCTCCAGACCTGCTCTCTACTTATGTTCTGTTTCTCAGTTTATGGTATCAGAATCTCCCCTGTTATTAGATTCATATGCCATATCTGGTTTGTGTAAGTTAAATCAACTTATACAATGTCCTGTTTAAGAGAAGGAACTCTGAATTTAGAGTTCCTTCTCTGGATTTAGGTGACTGGGGTTCAACCTCAGGTCTACCTCTTACTAGGTGGGTGATCTTGTGCAAGTTTCTTACCCTCTCTGCTTTTACTCAGCTCTACAAAGAGGATAATGATAGTAACTACCTCCTACAAGTTCTTGCAAGGATTAAATAAATTTGCATTTTCAAAGTGGTCAGACCAGTGTCAGGGCATAGTAAGTGCTTGTTGATACACTTGGTTTGCATTTGTCTCCACTCTAGCCCATCCCTTATACTGCTGACAGAGTTTGAGAGGCTATCAGTTATAGAATGCTCAACCAGGATCCATCTTCATGCAAAGATCTATATATGAGTAGAATCTTATTTAATCTTCCAAATAATCTGTGAGGGAGGTGTCCTAACCCCTGTGGGACAGATGAGGAAACTAGGGCTTTAAAGGCTAATGTACCTTGCCCAAGGTCACATAATTTATAAACACCGGAGTTGGGAATTTCAGATCTGTTCCCATAGTCAGTGTTGCACACTATAATTTATAATGCACTGCTTTCTCAAACTCAAGTTAGGTACTCAGTAAAAATTTTTCAAAGCATCATATTGCTGTTGTGATCAATTTCTTCACAATTTTGTTCTAACTTAACTTCATTTCCCTTCCTGTGTCTTTCCTGTTTTCCTGTTCCCTCCCTCCTTCCCCCTTTTTTTTCTTTCATTCTTTCTTGTTTTTTTTTTTTTTCTTTCAATATCTAATGCCCAAATGCAGGCACTGTGCTAAATCTTAGAAGACAAGAAAAATGAGCAATTTGACTTTAAGGAGCTCATGGTCTGCTACAAATTATTAATGGCAATTCAGAAGGGGAGTACATAGAGTGATGTGAGAATCAGACTGGAAAGGAGAGAGGACCAAGCATAGTTCCATTGAGCAGAGGGCATTTTGCTGCCTTTTAAAGGATAATTGTGCCAGATAACATTTTGTCTCTCTTTAGCAATCCTGACGTCTTGCTATTTGCCTTTGAGATTTTTGACATGTCCCTTTGCTTGTCAGATTTGTTGTTTAAGACTGAATTTCAAAATCATCTTTGTGACATCAACCCTTTCTCACCAGCTGGATGTTTGTGTCCTTATACAAACCTCAATTACAGCATGTATCACACTGTAATCTAGCTATGGGTCTGTTTATCATTTTGATTAGATTGTGATTTCCTTTAAGGAAAAGACAGTTTTATGTACTTTTGAATTGTCCTTCATTCTCAAAGTGGCATGACTGGAATATTACATTGCTCAGCAGAGTTTTGTTAAATGAACACTTATTGGCTTATTTACAAAAGGAAGTCTTCAGTAGAAAGTCCTTCTGATTCAATGCAAAGCTCTTCAGATAATCCTTCAAAGTACTTGGCTTGATACTCTGCAGAGAGTAGGTGTTCAATAAATGCCATTTAAGTAGTTAATAAAATATTTGAAATAATGCCAGGAATGAAGAAATTTCTTCCGGGTGTGGTGGCACATGCCTTTAATCCCAGTACTCAGGAGGCAGAGGTAGGGAAATGACTGACTTCAAAGCCAGCTTGATCTACCTAGAGAGTTCGAGGCCAGCCAGGGGTACGGGGCTATATATAGTGAGATCCTATCACAAAAATAGTTTTTTTTTCTTAGCTACTTGTTGGATAAGTTAAGATTTTAATGTCTGGCTGGGCTTTGGATCAGGCAGGAGGAAAACTAAGAATTATTGGTTTTAGTGCTAGAACTAAGGATTTCTTTTTTGCCTCAACTAGGCCATGATTCCAATCTTGTGCACAATTAAGGTAAGAAAGCGCTGTGCTGTGGGAGCTGTGTGCCTAGTGTCTAGCCTTCTCTTTTGCCTGTGCTTTTTTTCCCTCTGGCAATATATAATATTTAAGAAGAGGGTAATCCTTAAGGTGGGCAGAGTTCCAGGCTGACATGAAAGGAGTCCTCCTTTTCTTCTTTTCTGACCTGGATTATTCTTTCACCAGAGGCTTCTGTACAAAAGTCAGATAGACTTATGCTTATTTTCCATCATTCCTCAATGTCCCATCTTTCTCCTGAGGGAACAATCGTAGAACCCTACTGGCATGAATTAAGCCGAAGGAAAAGAGATGAAAAATGTGTATGTAGGGAAGGGGGAGCCAACAGCAGAGATCTGTATCTCAGAATATTGTCCCAGATACAATACTCCCCTAGCAAATCTTGGAATCTCATCAAAATTGTGAGAATTAAGGGACAAAGTACATGTAAGGGGTTTAGAACAGTACTTGGTACAAGGACAGGGACAATGAGTGCTCAATAAATGTCAGTTATTATGTTATCCAGAGCTCCTCCACCCAGGGTGGAACCTGGGTTTTGCCACAAATAGGTCCGCCAGGGCAGTCACTCTCATGCTGAATATAGTGGTGCTGTGTGAGAGATCTCTTTCAGAGGTTTAGCCTGGGTACTGGAATCATTTCTTGTCTCACTGGAGGTGGCTTGGTATTCTATGGGTTTGGCTTTCCTCTCAGCATTGTTTTCTCTCCCAATCCTTGTCTCCAGTCCCCAGTCAGCCTGCTCAACCACAGGTCCAATGGTACTTTTGGTCCTGGGTTTGTATCCAGATATTATTGGCCTTTCTGGTATCTCTGGGACTAACTAGATAATTTATATTGAAATTCAGAAACAGCATGAACTTTTTGGCACTGACATTTTAAATTAGATTCAACATGCATTTATTGAGTACCTATTGTGTGCAAATATAGTTTCTTTAAATATATTTGGCTCTTAACTCTGTTTTAACTACTCAATTTGGATCAGTGCTGATCCATCCTTAAGGGTTTTATGAAAAATCATTATTAAAATGGAAAAAATATTTGCACAGTTCCCTGCAAATATAAGCGTATTGTGTGGATTACTGTTGCTCCAGTACTAATAATAATTACAATAACAACAGTGTTACTTCCCAGGCAGGCAGTAGAGAGCAGCTGTAGGCCATCAGCCCCCAGACGGAAGAGGTCAGGGGAGGTGCCTCCAGCACGTCCGGCCCAGAAGGGGCGGGGAAAGAAGGCAAGCCCCCGGCCTCGTCCCGCCCTCTCCCCGGCGGAGCGGCGTAGGCGGTTACCATGGCGATGACGTCTAGAGGGCGGGGTGGGGCGGGGCCAAGGAGAGGAGGAGGAAGATGGCGGGAGGGCGGCTCTGAGGAGACCTCGGCGGCGGCGGAGGAGGAGAGAAGCGCAGCGCCGCGCCGCGCCGGGGCCCATGTGGGGAGGAGTCGGAGTCGCTGTTGCCGCCGCCGCCTGTCGCTGCCGGAGCCGGGTGGGAGTGAGGGGGTCGCGGCAGGATGAAGTTCGCCGAGCACCTCTCCGCGCACATCACTCCCGAGTGGAGGAAGCAGTACATCCAGTATGAGGTAGGGGCGGCGGGGCCAAGGCGGGCTCGGAGGGGCGATTGTATCCCCAGTCCCGACCTCCGCCTCTGCCTGGCTTGCCCGGCCCGGCCCGGCCCGGCTCGGACTTTGCCCGGCCGCCGTGGGCAGCCACTGCCGCATCCCCGCCGCTACCGGCCCCCGGCGGCCCGGCCGTCCTTCCCCTCCCCCGCAGCCCTCTGCCGCCGGGGTAACGGATATGAAGGCGGCCGCGGAAGGAAGGGCACAGCCTGGCCGGGGAGCGGTGGTGGAAGGCCGAGCCGCAGGTGCCACGGCGGCCGGGGGTCGCGGCAGCTCTGTGCTCATCCCCCTGCAGCCCACTCCCCAGACCTCCCTTCTCCCGAGAGCACCCCCTCGCCCAGGTTAGGTCGTTTCTCGCTGCTCAGCCCTCGCCGAGGACTCCTGCTGTTGCAAGCTAAGCCCCTCCAGATTGCCTTCCTCACGCAGAGCCCGTGGCTTTACCCAACTTGTCCAGCGTTGACAAAGGCTTTGTAACAGGATTGAAACTTGATGAAACGTGTATCACAGAATGTAGTGGTTTATAGTTTGCAAACGCTTTGAACAAACAGCTCTGTTTTGATAAGGAGACAGTGATCATGTCTTTGTACTGATGGCACGAACTATAACAGACTCATCACACGTCTTCGGACCGGGGGTCTTCGATCTTCCCTGGTTTTGGAAAGGAGGGAAGATAATTATTTCAGTTTTCAAGTCTTCTAAGTTTTTTTTTTTTTTTTTAAAGACAGGGAGAAAATCATTATAATGTAAATGCCGTACCTTGTGTGTTACACAGGTCAGCTCCCCTTTCCTCGCAGTCTCTGTGATAACAGCTTTTAGAGGTATTTAGTAGTATAAGCAACCTTGCATTAGGATTGGGAAAAAGTAAAGGTGGTGAAACCACTTACATCTTTAGAGGGTAGGATAGCCGAAGGAATTTCAGCTTTGTAGCAGGTTATCCTAGGTAGCTGGCAATTCAGCTCCTGGATAGAGGAAGACATTTATTTGCAACCTCCAGGAATCCACATCTATAGTATGAGCAGAACAAAGAGTATAAAATCAATAGGAAGGCACACATACGAGCTAGATTTTATGAGTTAAACTATTCTAGGTCTCTACTTTTATATGAATGTAGTGATAGGATGCTTAGGGGACAGCAGTTAAGTACATTTATTCATATAGTTGATGTAATAATTGAAGAGCGGGAAAAGGATGTAGTTATATTAAACAGAATCTTGAAGATTGTAAGATAAGTTTACTTGTAATGTATGATGTTTAATGTCAGAAATGCATGTCTTGTCATTATTAATACTTTGTCAGTTTTCTTGTAGTGTTTTGTGGGCACATTCTGTAAGAAAAGGGTCTAACATTTCAGGCTGTAGAGTTGTTGATTTATTGTTTCTAATAACATTCTGGCAGTTTTAAAGCCTTGGCTAGGATCCAGATGATGGATTTTATTGAAAGAAGGGTATTGGATTTTCATCTTTCTAGTAGCAATTTTCAGCAACATAGCCAGTTCCTCACACAGGACAGAAGCAAGCCTGCTGAAGCAAACCTTCCTATTTAGCATGGAGTGCTTGATTTTGGTAGAAGTGACAGTGGTTGGATGTATGCTATGATTGATTTTAAGTGTTTCAACATTTGACTATTTCATAGAATTAACTTGGAATAACTGGGGCTGGAAGGAGAAGTGTAAGATTTTGTTTGAAAAGGCAATTAGCCCTTGATTTGTAATGTCAGGTCTATGGCTGGAGTAACCACAGTGATTCTGGGACTCAATTTACATAGTCTGACTATGTTCATTATGATTTCTCTAGATCAGTCACAGAGGGATAAAATTCATGTGCTACTGAGTGACTGTGTTATCATTCTCGGGCCAATTAGAAATTAGTTTTTGAAAAATTCATTTATTGTGCATAATTGAAATTTGATTCTACAGAGATTCCCCTACTATATAGTAGGGGATAAACTCATTGTTCAATAGGCAAGATGAAAAATAGGGGGTGTTTTCTTTGTAAGTTGAAACAATTAAAGACATTTACCTAGGGTTTCATTCTTTGTGTTGTGCAGTATTTTTGAAGAGTTTGTGCTCTTCTTTTAAAGATGATGTAGAGGCGTGAGTATGAGTGTCTGTGGTCCAGGAATGTTAGCCCCTTAAAAATTTAAGGAAAAAAGCTTATTCATAAAAAAAAAAAAAGTTAACCTTTGTTAGGGAAAAGGACCTTGGCATAATTTTGTAATATGTACTTTAACATAAATGAAGATGATGCTTCTAAAAACAGAAAAGACTTGGATTTGTTTTACAAGCACTGGTGGTGAAATCTTGATGTATTACCCTTGATTTTGAGCCTAGACTGCCTTCTAGTGCTGTGAACCAATGTGAACTGTGCAGCTTCTTTGTTTTTTTAATGTCAGTTTATTAAATATCAGTTGAATTAGGCAGAGCTTTAGCTAGAAGCTGAACATTTTGCTTACATCTATAATTTGATGTAATATTTAATTACATGTAGTATTATGGCTACATGGTTGCATGGTGAGTGCTAGTTCTTGTGTATTTAGCTGTGATACCCTGGAGACTGCTCTTGTTCTCTGTTTTATAAAAAACGAATACAAAACCAGCGCTTTTCAAGTTCCATTCTAGTTCATAAGTTTTTGTCTAACTTTTGATGTTTTTACTGTCTGGGATTGTTTTATTAATAATAGTAGCACATCATTATCCTGAAAATTATTAGTCTTCAATTTAAAAAAATTGTGGCGTTCACGGATTCGCTCTTCATAGACTGAATAAGCATCAAAGAACAGAGCGGCAAGGAAAAAAACCAAATAAGGAAATCTATGTGATGCTTTATGAATAATTTTTACAATACTAAATACAAGTGAGCAGGGGTGGTCCTTGTTTCTAATAACCTGAGTATGAATCTCGGCATAGAAAAGAGAACATTAATATATCTCTACAAAAATGATTTAAAAAAAACCCCTTAGAATCAATGGTTTTATTTTTGGGAGTTCTATAATAGATTAATCAGAATTAACTAAGGCCAGTTTCACCCAACAAACAAGTAGGTTCATGTTAGTATTTTACAGAATATTAATAAAAGAAGTAAATATTTTTGCTGCCTTTGACTGCTGACTTGTGGTCTTCCCTAGGGTTCTGTACTGCCTTGGTCTCTGAGGAACCAGGAATGGCTTTTTTCAGTGTATACTATAGAAATGTAAGATTCTAAAACAGCAAAGTCTCTAAATTACAGGAATTGAAAGGGATTTTAAAAGATTACCCCTTTGTTTTTTTCAGGCCAAGGTAACTAAGGTCCAGAGAGTTTAAGCCACTTGCTTGGTGTCCTACAAATGTGTGGACAAACACATGTACACACACACACAGACACACACACACAGACACACACACACACACACACACATACACACACACACACACACACACACGCACACACACACCCCGAGCTAGTCTCTTGAGCACTGTATTATTGGGAGCCAGGCCTAACTCAGTGTGTGACCCTATGAAATCATTTCCTCATTCTGGGCTTTAAGGATTGTTCATCTGTATATAATGTTAGAGAACTGAACTTTGATGGTTTCTAAGCTCATAGTCTCATATAATCTAAGAATGTATCCAACTCTAAATTTCTTTGCTTTGTTATAGTTTAGTTACATTTATGAAGAGGACAAATTTAAAGAACCATTTTAAAATCACCTTAATATCTTTTTTAAAAAAATTTTTAAGGAGATTTTGATTAGTGAATAGAAAATCCAGTGAAAGTTTTTATTTCCATTGCTGGGTATTGAACCCAGGGCTTTGGGCATGCTCAGGCAAGACTTTTTCATTGAACTTAAGTAAACAAAAAGTAATGGTCTTGAACTAATTTTTTGTTGCATGATTTGGGTGCTACACACACTGCACTTGCCTTTCAAGTATAAAGAAGCGTCGCCATAACACTGTTATGATTTTTCATTTATAGAACTCTCCTATGAGAGAACTTGTGTTGCAGGCTTCAGTTTCTCAAAGGTATTATGTTGATTAGTTAGGGTTCACTTGCCTTGCTGGAACTTGTTTGAAATTTCCAGTTTGGCCACCCGATGGGGCACAAACTACACTTTTTCTTTAATACTTCTGCAAAGGAAAGTACAGTGTGGTGTATTTAAAGTCATACTTGTAAATAGTATTATTACTGCCTGGCATTAACAGATACGATTTAAGTGAGTGAATACAAGTAGAGACAGGAAGCTATAACTGTTCTTTATTATTAAAGTGTGTCAGGGCGGGTATGCTGGTAAGATTATACTTGTCCATCCATCCTTGAGGTTGGTTTTGGATCAGCTTTTGGATGAAGTCCCAGATCATAAGAACCTAAGAATCTTATTTGACCTGGGCTGACCATGGAAAATTAGTCCTGGCTTCAGGTTCAGTCCTAATTTGGAAAGCATTTGAGAGAGTCATACTAGCTAGGATTTCAGGTATGTTTGAATTATAGGCCCCATACCAGTGTTCCCCATGCTCCGTGGGGTAGGAGAAGAGACTATTACAACTGTTTATTTAATTCTTATGCATATGAAAAAGAAGAGATAAAAATCTTAGCAAATGCGTTGCTGTAGCACTCTCACTAAGGAGGCTGTCCACAAGTGGTCTGATATTCTGAGGGAATCAGGATGGCCAGTGATTGTCTCACTTGTTTGTGCACTTTCAGCAGATAGAGTTAATGCAGTTATAGGTGCCTAGGTAAATGGATGCTGTGTAAGTCTTAAATCAAACCTTATAAAATAGATGGCCTAACAAAAGAGATGCTGTGACATTAATACCGATAATGTAAGCATAAGTGAACAAGACAACGACAGCTGACAAATCTAGAACTAGCTTTGAGCTAAATTACAGATAAAACAGCAGTGCTTTGTTAGATCTGACAAAAAGTTCATCAGAATATTTCAAAATCATATTAACATTTTGAAGTAAAGGTTTACATCCACTGTCATCCACA